ATGCCACGGTTCGTGCCCTTTGTGGATTTAATTGTGGGGATTCTTCCAACATTTTTGGCACCTTTTGTGATAAGTTGTAGCCAGCAGTCAATCCCATGTGGTTGAAATGGATTAAGTCAAGTAGACGGGGAGCAAAGGGAGAGAAGGAAGAGGTTTAAAGTGACAATCAGAAAGAGAAAAAGGAGGGGCAGGAGCAGGATATCAGTAAACATGTTATATTACCGAGCCGGATAAAAACAGAAAATATTAATCCTGTTAAAGGTAAATTAGTTCTGTTTTCTAGGTTGCAGATGTACCAGACATACAAATAAATATAAATATAAATAAAGTCAGGGACAGGAGACAAGTTTGTTTGCAGATCAGAAGAGATGAAAAAGGAGATGAAAGTGGATAGAGAAGCAGGAGTGTGTGTGTGTGTGTGTGTGTGTGTGTGTGTGTGTGTGTGTGTGTGTGTGTGTCTGTGTCTGTGTCTGTGTCTGTGTGTGTCTGTGTGTGTCTGTGTGTCTGTATTGCCTGGAAGCGGGTGGATAAGGGGGGACTTAAAGGTGGATGAAGAGACGAGAAGGGAGCATAGATAGAAGGTAGCCAGCTGGGCCAGATGTGATCTCTGTCTCCTCCTCCTGCCCTTCTTCCTCTGCTTGATCTGACCACCTGCTTTCTTCCCAAATGTGCACACACAAACAGGCAGTGCCTCAAGTTCTGGTCTGCAGAAGCTTTCTGGCACGTACTGATGAAACCACTTCACCAAAGTAACAACGACGCCACACAGTATTGGTAGATTTCTCTTTCTCTTTCTCCAGATGCACTACGCATACCCACAAGCATACCCACAAGCACACACTTCCTCATCAGATCCCGAGTCTGGTTCCCCCCAGCTCTCACGCTGGTCCCTTTGGTACCAGGAAGTCTCTGGTCTATTGTGGTTCAATCAAAGGCCACAGAGGTCAACTGATGACCAGTAACAATGGACCTCAGATCAGGGAGGAACAGAGAAGGTCACTGTTGGGAATGAGATCACCTTTCCTCAGCATTAATTCCTCCCTTGTGTGCATGAGGAAAACTAAATGTAAGAGAGATTGCCTATAGAAGAAAGTTATGCAAATGAACACGGACAGTGCAGACACATTTAAAAACATTCTGTTTATTTGGGTCCAGGTTGCAGTGGCAGCTAGTTATGCTAAATAGCTCAGACGTCGTCCTACTACTCCTGGATGATTGCTCTTCCTGAATATGAGGTACAACAGGAACAAATTACTCAAAACTGGGAACCACCGACTCTATTTGCCTATCCATATGCACTAGGGCTGCAGCTAATGGGTGTTTTCATCATCAGTTAATCTTCAGATTATTTTCTCGATGAATCCATCAATCATTATGTCTATAAATGTCATGAAATAGGGTTAGGCTTAGGGTTAGGAGGGTTATAACCTCCCAGCATCCAAGTGAACTTATTCAAGTTACTTGTTTTACCAACCATTTTGTGCAATCAGTCCAAAACCAAAAGATGGGGAGGAACAGCACATTTCTGTCTCTGTACAGATATAGAGAGATATAACATGTTTATTAGTGAGGTTAACCTTGCTTGGTTTTCGTCCCCCCCTTGAAAGTATACTTGTAGTGAGGATAGACTTTTGACTTTGTGCTATGTTTTCTCCTACACGAGCACTTCAGTCCTCTGTTGTTTAACTATCTTGTAATAATGTGTCGGCATCAATTAGCCGGGTTCAGATTGTGTGTGCAGCTGTTGTGCAGGTAATTGCCTGCAGGATGCTGAGGTGTCGGCCAGAGCCTTACAGTTGAGGATTGACTCAATCTTATGTATTTTTTTTCTTCTGGTCAGAGTAATTGCTCAGACCCCCCCCCCCACATCCTAAGACCTGTTTCTGCAGACCACGTCAGGAAATAGAGGAGAGATAAAGCGAGGCGAGGAGGCTTGTCGAGCTGTGTGTGGATTCCTGCAAATTGTCCGGATGAAGAGACACTCATGTCTCTCATGACTCATTATCTTTTTTTTTGTGTGTGTGACTATCTCTTTCTCCTCTTCTCATGGTCACTCGTCTTTTTGCCTCTATTTTTATCTGTTTTTTTCTCTTTCTACCTCTCGTCCTCCCTCATTTCTCTCTCTTTAACTCCCTTATCGCTCTGTTCTCTCTGTCTCTGTCTCCTTCTCTTTACCCCATCCCTCCTTTTTTTCCTGTGCCATATGTTTGCCTCAATCGCCTCGCCTTCCCTTTTCTCTCCCTGGTCTGGAATCAGTGGCATCTAATGCTTTCCACTCTGCCTGATTAAGTCAGCACATGTACCCTCTTTACATTATCTATCAAACACACACACACTCATGCACGTGCATCCCCACAGACCTAATCAGTCCTTCTCTTAGTTCTCTCTCTCACACCACTCCAGACCTAATGAAAAAACATGAGCTCTGTTAAAAAGAATCCGAGATGGATAGACGGAGGACAGAGTGAAAGAAAAGGTAGCAGCAGAAATAAGAGACAGAGAGGGTAGATTTAAAAAACAGAAGAGGAGTGAGGCAACTAATTCATTTACAAAGCCACCAGTCGCTCCTAATGCCTCTTTCCAGTTCAGACATATTAATTGTTTCTCATCAGCATGAGTAATATCATGCAGTGATGCGGTAGGAGGAGACAAGTTGAGGCTGCAACATTTCCTAACACACATGAAATCCTGTAATTTATGTGTCGAATGCTGCAATTCAGACACACTCTGTTAGCCTCTAAACGTTGTTCTGGTTGGCTGTCGTTCACACCACTAAATGCAGCTAAAATGGATGCATTGTGTTGTAATGTACCATTGTATTGCATTACTCTACACTCATTTGTATTGACTAAATAGCCCACCGCCTGGTATGTTTGTGTGCGTGTTGTTAGAGTGGAATTGGTGCCATGTTGAGTGAACGATTGAAAGTAATGCCGGTCTGGAAGTCTGCTGTGTTTTGTTACTGTACGTGTGGGCAAGTGCTCGAGGGAGATAATGCGTTAAGTGAGTGAAGGAAAGAGCGAAGACGGGGCTTTATTGAATGAGCGTGCGCACCTGACACGTGTGCGCGCGCACCTGATTATGATGATGAAGTCTCCCGACGGGACTCTTCCCTGCTACAGTCCTCTGGTAGTCTAATGAGAAGCTGTTTCCGTAGTTACCAGGTGTGAGAGCCGGCAGCTCATAATGTCCTGTGGTGAGGAACAAAGGATGGAGCGAGAGAGAGGTTGAAAGAAAAGGCGAAGGAATGGATGGGATTGAGGAGGACAGCGAAATTAAGCCAAAAAAAGCCCCATATATGTGGTGTGAATGATCAATTTATCTGTGTGTGTGTGTGTGTGTGTGTGTGTGTGTGTGTGTGTGTGTGTGTGTGTGTGTGTGTGTGTGTGTGTGTGTGTGTGTGTGTGTGTGTGTGTGTGTGTGTGTGTGTGTGTGTGTGTGTGTGTGTTACCTGTTGTGAGGGAAGACACTGAATCTCTATAATAAGCTATGGGACCTGAACAAGAATCAGTTCAAAATCAATCTCATTTTGGTGTGAGAGCAGCGAGGTGGGGCCAGGCTGTTAGTATCTGGTCAGATTCTATCAGGCACCTTCAAAATAACGTTGACTTGTGCTACATTAAAGAGGTTTTTATGCATTGGGCTAAAATTGATAGCTCGATAAGATCTCTGCTTTATTTGTGTAGAAGAAATACGACTTCTGTCTCCTCTGAAATAGATATTTTATGTTCAATGTTTGGGTTTCTGAAGATAGAAATGGGAAGAAGTCAGTGTTGTGCGAATGTGTGTGTACTGTATATAGTATGTCAGTCCCACCCAGTCATCATTCAGCCACATTTTCCTCTTTTTTTCCCCTTCCATTTCTTCATATTTAGTCAAATTAAAAGCAGCACATAACATGATAAGCACTAATTAATACTTTAATTTACTTTTAGTTATTAAAAATGATCTTTCAGCAGATCATGTAATACAGACTTTCAATTCTCTGGAACTTTTGAATTTCATTGTCAAATCGCCTACATTAGGTGTATGAATAGAAAAGAAAAGAACAGAATATAATAACCTCTATCATTTAGTTCCGCCGCTAATGTATTATTTTCATTATTGATTAAGGTACCAATTATGTCGTTGATTCATGCCATGGTCTATAAAATGCTGTGTAATTGTGGGAAATGCTCGACACAAGCCCTTAAAAGTCAATGCAACATCAAAGATATTTACTTTACTATCATAGAAGAATAAGAAACTCAGAACATTTTCACACTTAAGAAGCTGGAATCCTTGAAATCGACATACCCCGGCATGCTCCATACAATATAAAAATGCTGAAGATCATTAGAAAGGTGTTGTGAATGAAGTATACAATAATAAATACACTGCTGTAACGCTAAACACTCATGAAACACATTCTCCATTTAGGAGTCTGATGCCAGGCTGTGGCACGTACCTTCATACTGAACTAAAGCAGATGCACATTTTAGATCAACAAGACTGGAAAGCTAAAAGATCACTTCAGAACATACAAAGACTAGACAAGACTTGTTTACTTGTGTACGTCAAAACACAATAGCATCTTTGTGAGGCCCTCCCTATCTCCGTTTACTGAGGCTGCGAGTTGTGTAACTTCAATTTTCCTCCACATTCAGCGAGTGAGTGACACCTGAACTTCTGTTAACATGTCTCGAGAGAACAGAAAGGCAGGAGATGGTGCAGCTGAGTGAAATTCAGGAGAGGAGGAGGAGGAGGAGGAGGTTAGGAAAAGTTGTGCAGCTGGCACCTGTCCTTCACATTTTATTCACTGAAGAATTGGTGTGTGTGTGTGTGTGTGTGTTTTCTGTCCTTGTGCGTCTGCATTTCTGTGTGTGAAAAGCAATTTGCTTGTTGTACTCCAATCAGGGTTATCAAACCTTTTTTTTTTTTTTAAAGCGTTTCTCATTACTCCTCTTTGTTTTCTACTGTTGTGTAACTCTTAATTTTTATTTTATTTCTTCCTCTGCCAGATCTGATCCACTGCACCAATGAGATGAACGTGAACATTCCCCAGCTGGCGGACACGCTCTTCGAGCGCACGGCCAACTCTAGCTGGGTTGTGGTCTTCAAAGCCCTCATCACCACCCACCACCTCATGATGTACGGCAACGAGGTAGGAGGCTTGCACCACGCAAAAACCACGTGCAAACAAGACCCCTCCAGTGTAGTCAATGGAGGGGACGTCAATATATTGTGTTACTACTCGAGTCTCGCCCACAAATACAAACATACACACACATTCAGATCATTTATTCATGTCTATATCAGCGTTAGGATCAACAGTGCTGCGTGTGGGATAGACACAGTGTGTGTGCAGCTTCTGAGAATGTACACATTGGACACATGGAGTGAATAATCGAAATAGCTGTGGAGTGCGGAGAAATTAATTGGCTCAGTGCGAGCTGGAAGCAAGATGGGGGACAAGGATAGAAGCAAATGAATAATCAAATAAATTAACCTAATAAAAAACATGGTTGAAAGCTGGAAGAATAACACGGATCCTCCATGGATTTGCAGACTTTCAGACACAATAATTAGAAATTAAAATTCAAGCAATCGCTGCTATGTTTGGGAGAACTTTTGGATTTTCTTAATTTGTGATTTGGATTCAGATGTTGTACTGTTTTGCATGAAGAGGTCTGATCAACCCCCCCCGCCGTCAGCGAAATGTCTCAGTTTATATGCAGTGCACTTTTTCAAGGCAAAGGCATAGATTAATTAAGGGAGAGTTGTAGTTTCATTTCTTGTAGTTTTATTAATTTTCTTACAAGATAGAGATGGAGTGCGCTTTGTTCTTCAAATAAACTATTGTAGCTTGCATTTACACTGCAGACTGTTAATAATGCAGAAAAACCCAGTGCATTTTACATGAACATATACTTTGATATTCAGATGGGCTGCAGCCATTCAGTGCTTACTTTATTGGTGAATGTATATTTTATGAAAACCTCAGTCTGAGCACAGTGTGTTGCTTTGTTCTAACATATTTTGTTTGATTATAACATAAAATTGGCAGTAGTTTGTGTGATATGTAGCAATCTTGCTTTAATGTCATTAAATGTAACTTTTCTTTGCTAGCTAGTTCTAAAAGTCCGTTTTTGTTGTCTATTTAGTGCCACCTTCATTTTCTGACAGTTGGTTCCACTTCTAGTAACTCCACTGAGAGGAATAGTTTGACAGTTAGTTGCAAGTTTTAGATAAGAAGATCGATACCACTCCCACATCTGTACGGTAAATATAAAGCTACTGCCAACAGCTAAGTAGCTCAGCCAGCACAAAGTGTTGCCTTTACCCCTTGGTTCTTGTACGAGTGAAACAAACATGATATACTGTATTAATTAGTGAGCTTTAGAGTTGTGGACTGGTGGATTTTGTTCTTTGAAAAGAACGAGGCTAGCTGTTTCCTGTCTTTGCTCCAAATGAAGCTAAGCAGCTGCTGGCAGTAGCTCCATATTTACCATACAGGCACCAGAGTGGCATTGATCTACTCTTTAGACTTTAGACTTTATTGTCCCCAAAGGGAAATTCCTTTCCACAGCTCTGTACACATCGGACACATCAGTCAACAACCGCACAATAGCACTGGATGATGTCCAGGATTCTTTTTAGGATTCTGCCTGTTTCACAGTATATCTTAGGCTTTTTTTTTTTTAATGACATGGCCTTTATCTAGGTTTACAATGGCTTATTCTAATATCAGGAGTGCATAGATACAACATTGCTTCTTTTTCAAAACAGAATATTTTGAAATAGTTGTATAAACACTATAAACTGACATTAAGGACTAAAAAAAGTTTTCAAAAAGATATTTCTCAAATCTTTTATTAGATAAGTTAGAAACGAAACACTGTAGGTGTACAGTAGGTTCATATTACTCAGCACTACAGCACACAGTTATACCATACAATGACAGACAATAGTACACACTCAACCAGTTCATCAGGACCTAGATTGTATCCATTTATGATTAACGTCAAAGTAAAACTGAGCATTTCTGCTCCCTGTAACCAAAATCTGGTAGTGCTGTGACATAGTGGGTTACTATGCTCATGTACACGTATACATATTATATACACTGTATACTAATATACATCTCGAATACAAAGACTAATATATAGTACCTTCCCGTACACAAACAGACACAGCAGCAACACATCCGAAAACCGACACACCCTGCGCTGCATTCCTTTGGATTTCCACTAAAATAGGGAAGCATTGCTTCCTCGTTCAGTCAACATCACTTGTTTCGACATTACGCAAGACTTCCTTTTGTTGGTTCCTTGTTTGTTACGCTAATCTAAACTTCCTCTGAAAAGAGGAAGACTTGGGTGTGAGATCATTGTGTTTTGGCGTATGAAAAAAAAAAAAAAACTGCTAAACTAACTGACACCCAAACAGCACCCTGGCTGATTTCACTGCTGCTACAATGGTATTTTAAGTTAAGAGAATTAGTCAAAGTACTCCCAAATTAGATGTAATGTGGGCGGCATGAGTCTATATTGCAGACAAACCGGCACCTACGGTAGTAAGACAGTCAGATAAGCCGAGACCTCACATACAGTTCGGAGAGACATCAGGTCATCAGATCACTCCGTGCTAAATGTTTGCTCAAGCTGTGGAAATTCCCGCAACATTTTTGATAAACCAAATCATGCTAAGTAGGTCAGTGCAGAGTGGCAGGAAGTGGTTTAAAGCTATTCCCAAGCTGTAGGCTCATGTATCTCTCAGATTTTGATGTCAGTGTCTAACCTAGAGTGACTAAACAATGATTGCAATACTGTTCATCCAAAATATCTGCACAACCCTTCATAACAAGCAGCTCATAGAGACAATGCGCCCTAACTGTATTTCTGTTGTGGGGCATAATGAAAGTCGACATTAACGAAGTTAAGATAAAGCGTTTGTTTTTATATATATTAATATAGCTTTATATCATTGCCTTGAAAAATGGAACTAAAGTAATAAGCAGCATCTTTTTGTCTTTTCCAATTTAGAACAGAAGCAATATTAACACCTATTATTACATTGTATTTTTTACAATGCCCTGTAGCCAGTAAATAAGCCAAGCTCTTGGTATAAAGTGAATTGTTTTGTAACACAGAGCGGGACTCTCTGTGACGTTAAAGCATTAGTGTCGCTAATAATTCAAGTAAAATGGACATTTAATATGCAGCATTTTATTGTCAATATTGTGCTGTTTAGTGGTTATTAATTGTGGAAACTACGGCCATGATGTTCAGCAATTTAAAAGCCCTTATACAAACGTACCTGCAGTGTATTACAGCACTGTGTTTTATGGTTTATCCGCACAGAGTGAGTCTCCAGGCTGTAGTACAGCAAGTGTGTGTACTCATCAGCCTGCATTCATCAGGCCTGTCAGGACGCTGCTGCTGACTGAGGCTCAGCAGCCAGGTGTCCCTGCTCCCTCATGGCCGTCCCATCCATTATAGTCAGAGCTGAGAGAAATCTGGCCGTAAAATTAGAAACCACAGACCCACAGAATTGGGGTCAATAGACTGTACATTCCTTTTCAGATCAACACGCTGACCGGTTCCAGCTTGGCTGGCTCACTGAAGAGGGCCTCGTACAATATCTGATGGCTGCTCTGATGCTAAAGAACATTTGCATTGAGTGAAATAAGAGCAGCCGCTTGCACATCACAGGCAGCTTTCTTGACATGAACTGCTGCGACTGATGCATAAGGAATTTTTACAGTGAAAAGAAAGTGCTCTTCGTCACATAATTTGAAAGGCTAGACCTTCTGATAATGTTACCATGGATATAAGCACACAGACAGCTGACTGCGTCACTTTACATATTAGATATTGGTGCGCTTCTGATATGATGAAGGCTCCACCCTGAAATGTATTTTCTTAGGTCACCCTGCCTTAAAGAGCCGCTAAGCCTGATGTAATTTCATTTGTCTGGGTTTCACTGACAGTGGTTTAGTCTTCCAAGGACTCAGTGCTCTGCTTTCACAGACCTTCCTACTCTGATAACAATAATAAAAAAGGCATCAACACAGTAAATAGGGTATTTGAGAGGTAAGAGTACAGAAAAAAAGGAGGGGGTAGAGAAGAAAATAGGAGGTAGAGAAGGAAAGGAGGACTTGAAACAGGATGTGAAGATGTGAAAGTAAAAGAGGAGATAGTAAAGGAGGAAGTAGATATTTTAAAGTTTTAAAAGTGTTGTTCATGAATACATAACACATCAGACATTCAGTGGCAGCCATCTCAGGTTTACCAAGGACAACTGTACACAAGTACTGAGTGATATTGATGGCACGACTGTTAGCAGGTAACATTTTTTAATGTTTGCCCTTTTTAATAATCCAGTGACGGCTCGATGCATATCACACACGACTAAACTACAAATGACTAAATATAATGTAGTCTGCCTTTCCTCGCTCTGCATCTCCTCGCAAGGCACCCGAATGTGAGTCAACAGACGGTAATATCTGAGCATATTAAAATGAAGTCCACTGTTGCATTCATTGTACGTTGGCCTGGATGTCAGCAAAATGCCGCCGTTTTAAATGCAGCCTATTTTTATTCCGCTGCTCCTGGTAATGTATTCAGCCCATGCTTTCAAATGGAATGTGGGAATTTACCATTCAGAGCAAATAGCAGGTGAATTAAGTTTTAATATCTCTTCTTTGCCTCAGCTGCCATATTTGTCAGAGGGATTGGGATCGTGATTAGAGTAATAGTGCATTTTGTCTGTGTGCGTGTGCGTGTGTGTGAAGGAACAGTCGACAGGCCAGTATTGATACTCATTCAGTTCTTCACCTCCAGTTTTTTCCTCCCTGCCAAGAAGCAATCCTGGCTCACTCCCCAGTGACACTCTGAATCTTATGAGCGATCAAGAGTCGGTCAATATCTTTTGATCACGATTTCACTTTTGTGCTGGTACAAAGCCACTTTAGAGAGTACATCTCAGATGTCTCGGCTGCATCTGGAGTTTGCGTCTCATTGTTTTTTTACTTCTGGGTGATCGTGACTGTATGTGGGCGGGCTGTACTGATGCAGGTCCACTAGTCTGAACTTTACCGATCAACAAATACTTAGTTTAAATTTAAAATGTACGACCCGTAAGTAGGGATGTGATGAGTGT